TGCCTCTCCAATCTCACCGCCGTCCTCCGCCCGCGGCGCTGCGGCTCGTCTTCCGCGCTGGCGAACTGAGAAAAAGCCGTTCGAAGCCGAGGGCATTCGTGCGTGAAGTCGTTCACGAACGTCACATGCTCCAAGGTGTGTCTTCGCATATTGCAGCGCGCGCAAGACGGTCGAAGAAAAAAAAAAGAAGGCAAGACTCTATGCGCTTGGTGACGGTAGAAGGCGTAGTTAAATAACGTTGGTGCGCATGAGTGGAGCTTGGTAATGACCGTTTTATTAGTACTCTTTTTTTTAGGGGCAAGGTACACGTGGTTAAATGTATACCTATAAAATGAGTGGAACAAATTAGAAAATACTCCTGGCCGATGCAGCGTTTCTAGAACCATTTGGACGTTGGACGAAGGAGACAGGTCGGTAGCCGCTACTGAGTGCTTTAATTAACCGTCAAAATTTCTGCGCTTATATACTCTTCAATACACTACATGCGCACAACCACAGCCATAAACGTGGACTATCAACGTGACATTTTTTGACGTGCGAATAAACTCCCGTGAGCGTTTATTTGCACGTCAAAGCAGTCAAGTGTATACCAGACCAGCGTCTCGTAGCAACGTCGTCATCATACCTGTGGCATTCACCATTGTTTTTTTGTCTGTAATTAATTGCTTATGTCATTATTTCAGTTGCTGGATGAGAAATGGGAGGGACAACAAAGTACTCTGGTTTTTAAAAAAATTGCCGGAACATGGTGTTTACGAAGCAGGTAAAATCGTCGTTTGGCTTATTTGGAGTTTCAGCCTCTTGTATAGACTTCGTGACTTGCGCAATTAACTGTTAAATTGCGAGGAACATTAGTTGATTGAGCAGGAAGGCGTCATTTGCCATGCAGCTCACGTCCTGGAAACGTGCGTCCCCGGGCGTACGTGTGAATGAAAACGTACTTATCTGAAAATGAAACTAATAAAACCAACGAACAATTAAACTTAATGACCTGCTGGTTTCATAGAGTGTGTCTAACAAAGAAACGAGCCCCTTGAAAGGTTCCCCTTTTTTTATTTTACTTCTATAGATGAGTTACATGATGTACAGCGCAAAAACAATAATGGGGTGTGATTGGGGAGGGGTGAAGGGCACAAGAAAGAACAGCACACACATAGCGCTGATAAATATTGGCTTGATCAGCAATTCTGCAAACGTGAAAAAATTTTAGAACGAATTATAAATGGGACAGCAGATTTTAATAAGGGTTTGTTGAAAAACAGCTTGTTTGGAAAATAAAAATAATTGTTGCGGCTTAACGCCCCCCAACCACGATATGACCGTGTGGAACGCCGCAGGGGAGGGCTCCGGAAATTTCGACCACCATGGGATTCTTTATTGTATATAAGCATACGTGTCTCATTGTTTCGGAAACAATACCTGTGCTCGGGTTGTGCAGCCAAGCTAAACAGCTCTGGCTTCGAAAGGTCGCATCTCCGTCTTCCTCGGTGTCGGTACTCTACGTTGCCGGTCCGGAACTTCAGGGCAGATGCGGAAGGTGGATATTCTGGAGGCTGAGTGCCCGAATTGCTGGTCTCCCGTCGAAAATGCGCTGTCAGCGGCGCTGTATTCTCTGCCTCCCTCTTTACCACTCCTCATGTAGCTACTGGTGGTATAAATAAAGCGTTTCAGCGCAAAGGGGACCCGCCACTTTGTCAGCGCAGGCTGTGGTCGATCGTTACAATTGACAAATGTCAGTGTGGTGTCCCTGCAATGCTTCAGCTGTGTCATTACGTCCCGTTTAGTAAGGGAATGAGTCAGGGCGCTCGACCCATTTAGGTGTGTTAAGCGTTGAGAGGGCTGTGCCTCGCGGTCGGACAGTGGTCACGGCTCTCTGCTGGTGTCCGCGGATGTTGCGGGCTGCATCCAGGCCGCGACGATCGCATTTCGATGTAGCCAAAGATGTAGGAGCGCCGTGTATTGAGCGATGTCAGCGCAAGCTGAAGAGCACCAGATGGGTGAAATTTGCGTAGCCCTATGGTTTGCCTCATAATCATGTGGCGGTTCTGGCGTGTACGGATATCATTATTGTGAAAGTTGGTGGTGACTAGCAAAATAATGTGAACGAATATAGCCACCCAGTACAAATACCATCTTCTGCCTGCAGCTGAGAACAGCACCTTGTGAAGCCACTTCACAAGGGAGCGGCACTTTGCTTCCTTCGGAAAGAACGAATTACATGGAAAGGTTAGAGAGGCTCGTTTCTTAGTTGCCTATAGCGGACCCAAGAACAGCACATAGGACTTTTTTTTTTCTCTTTCTTTCGCTACGATGGTGGTCGTTCCGCCATCCATTTTATTGGTTCGTTTCATGAGACAGTGGACTATCTGTATTAAGGATGCGGCCATAGTATTTCTCTTTTTAGCAATGGGAGGGGGAGGGGGGGGGGAACTTACACTTTTTGCATGGCTGTGCGTGCGTTTGTACTTGTGCGTGTATATGCAAAATAGAAAATTTCCCAGAGGGTGTGAAACACCGTACTGCCCTCCCCCCTCTCGGCTGCGCCAGTGATCGGTATGTAGGTCGACATTACAATAAACTTAATTGCGTAACTGTGACGTCGGCTGTGGTTGTAAAAGCGGTGTACTAATCATTGACGCGCTCTCGAACGCTTTAAACTTTGTTTAGGCAACTCGCAGTGTATGTCGTGGCTGTGTTTTTCACCTCGTAAACTGCGTCCGTTAAAACTATGTGTAATTTCTATTCAACCAGCGTTAACCATAGCTTTAACCGCAACGACAGCATTGATGAAACTTGGCATTCGAAGATTTTATCTCTGGAGTCTACACAGTGCTCTTTATAATGGGTAAAAGAAGAAAAAAACACACCTAAGTGTGTAAACCTTATCAGCAATAAATTATAATTTGTGCCCAAAGGGGAGACATGCATGGATACATGAGGTAAAGCATGTACGATTGCACACGACAAGCAGGCCGCGAGCAGCCGCCACAGGATAAAGCAGGCATGAGCATCTCTCGGGATCGGCTTCATTTCGGATGACCGATGAGGCATCTTTACAGTCTCCGATGTTACACGGTGCCGTCTTTAAGTGCGCACCATTCTGAGGACTTATGTAAACGCAATTTCCACTGGGGCGAGCCGTTTCGAGCAAAATTTTGAGCGCTGCATGCATACGAACGGGCCTTCGGTCGTCTTGACAGCGCGAGATAGAGATCGCGGCGCGCGTATACTCACTGAGATGGACGTCAGACTGATTAACTCTAAATCCCCGCGCCGTGGTCTTTCTTGTCGCTGCTGTCTTAATTCCCCCCCTTCCACTCCACGGGAGCGGCTTCGAGTAAGGCGTCGCCTGGAGCGCATTCTCGCGTGCGGTCTGCTGCTCGCGGGGATCGCGGCGTGTAATGGAGATCCTCCGCTGCATGCTCCGTCGGCTTCTCCGCTCCGATAATCGCGTTCGCAATCGGTTTTCTCTAGCTACTCGCGACTTCGCCGATTAGGTAAACAAATGGCGGGCTTAAACGTCTCGTGCAGTGGCGCAGGGGAGTGGCTCTATTTTTCTGGGGTATATATGAAGACGACTAGTTCATGCCGGGTGGGCAAAACGAAACGAACAGCCCTGTCCCGCTCGCTCAGTGTCGTGGACTCATCCAGCGTGGAGCGCGCGTAGAGGGTCCACTAACCCGGCTGCATTCGACCGTGCGTGATTTTGGAGACAGAACCTTTTTGTTCGTTCATGTAATTATACTGTACTGGTCGAAACCGCCAAAATGACGTGTATGGGATCGCCGTGCCATTAGCGGCGCAGATAAACGCAACTCGTTCAAGTTATCTTCGTGCGCTTGTTTTTTTCTCGTTTTTATACTGGTCAGTTTCGGAGGCTGACACGTAGAAATAGCACACAGCTCCCTTTATTCTACACTCATTGGTGGGTATAAGTGCGACTGAGTCGATCCATTAGAGCGCTTGTCGACCTGCGTGTTACATGTGCACCATCTTGAGCTACGATGATCAATTGTAATTATAGACGCATCATTATTATCGTAGTCAATTCATTATAGTCGCATCATAGTTAACTGCTGCGTCTCGTGAGAGCTGCCTCTTTTCGCATGTCATATCCTGGTTAAACTCTATTTTGCTGCTGTCCCCTCGGACACAATTTGTACTCTGTTAGGGCGCATAAGATTCTTCACCAAACCACTCCTAATTACCTTTTTTATCTCAACCTGTTCTTTGTATATAATTACGCATAAATACATGACCGCACCTACAAATATTCTTATGAAAGTAGGTTTACACAGCCGGGTGAATGGAGTGGAGTGGTGATTAAACACGTGTTTAATCTTTATTCCGTGTGCTTGACGGAATCCGAAGCACCAAAAAACATGGGCAGACACCACGAGCGCTGAATTGAAGTCGAATCGATTACAAATATACAGCGAAAAAAAGAAGAGAATAGCGTGTGTGCGCCACTCGACACCACAGTAAACAGACACGGGATATTCTCGAAGCCTTTCTAACAACGAAAAAAAAAAAGAAAGAGGACGCATGTGTCAGCCAACCTTCACTGAGTCTGCTGGATTGTGAGTTTAGTCCATTGTAGAAATCTGGTTTCAAACTACAATGGTTTTGGTCTCTTTTGTTTATAGCTATTTATTGAGCCGTCCACGTAAGTGTGCGCTACACTGCGCCATCTACATAATGTGCTTCTCTTTTCCCCTCTCTCTTTTATAATATATTCAGTTTCAAGTGAGCTCTAGGGGCGTCTGCTCTGTTTCGTCTGTCCTTGTTTTTCGGCGCTGTGAACTTATTCTGTCATGTCATACAAGCTCGCCCGAGCGTCCTTGTCCCCGCGTATATAGATGGACACCGTGTCACTTTACCTAAACAATAAGATCTGGGAAAGTGTTCTCGCCTTTCAAATGTCTAGCATGTAATGTTCTGTCTTTATGTGCAGTGGGCGTCGATCGTCTCATGTTCTGTTCTACCGTTTCTCTTTTCAGAACCAAACATGCAGCGGATGACGCGCGACCTGTTCACGGAGGACGAGGCGCCTCCGTTTATGCTTACGTGAGGTGAGAATGCCAATATTTTGGGCAATGTATATATAGTATAAAAATTCCCTATCGAATATTCTCATATGACACACATGTCTCGCATCCAGTAATCTCGTATGAACACATGTGAATCATATGTGTCCTTGTGTGTTCCCACGAGGTTACGGGATATGTATACCATGTGTCATATCAGACTTTTCCTTTCCATTTTGACACCACATAATAAAAACACGCCGTCATGCTACTACGCTACGCTTTCGCGAACCTGCGTGTAACCGTACCGTGCAGGGGTTCGGCCAGGAACATTCCAGGAGAAAAGCAGAGAGAGGCTAAGGAAGGGGGGGGGGGGGGGCGTGAAGGCCCGATCTTTCTTTATGTAATAGTGGGCTTGGTTTGCACGCATATGTGCTCACAAAAGATGTAGAAATTATGACTCACCGAATCCGCCTTACTAACGCGCCGCTGAACAGCACACACGCATGAATGCTTGTATTATCTCCTGGTAGGTGGACTTGCCTCTTTCAGCTAAATATTCGCCCACTGACCCCAATCCTATGTACGAACGGAATGTAGTACACGCAGCAGCGAAAATTCACGAGACGCAATATTTACCAAGCAGGTAATTCCTGCTTAGCCTACAAAGAAGCTCCATAATTTAATATTTCACCTTGTGCTGTAGGAGCTTTATTTTTTTCCCGCGACCTACACACTTATTTATCCAATTGAATGAATATTGCTCTGTGCCCCTGCGCAATGAAACACCATACCGAACCGTCATCGTCACTAACAGAGCAGAGAATCAATGTTCGCCGGGGAGTTCGCCGGCAGCACAATTGCGATGAGCCGAATAATCGTGAGTCGATGCAGGTGGCATATCGCCGAGCTACATCACAATCTTCACACATGTTTCTCTCAATGGAGAATGGCACTTGTATAGAAAAATCTAATCTCATGGACAACTGCTTTATCTCAGAGATGTGTACACGCTGGCTGCAGTATGCCTCCCTGACACCTTGCTTCGCCGCAGGAGTCGCAGCCGAGTTCCAGAAACGCAACAATGTGTGCCCATTGTTGTCCTTCCGTACACATACGCTGACTTGCCTCAGTCGGTGTTAACTGCGTGATAGAATGAAATACAGAGTGTCCGAAAGTCAGACGGCCACCTTACGCAGTTATGTAACACGACTTGAAGGCGAAATCCTTTTTTTTTTGTTGCTTCTCTTCAGAAGATTGTATTGATCCCCCGCTGACCTTCTGCATCTTTCGTGGTCTTGCATGGCCTGCTGGATCGGAGACCTAGTGAGTTCTCTGTAGATCACCTGATTTCCCACGGCCTCTGGGAGCGGCCCATGTTTTGACCAAGCGAAGACGTCATGCGATGACGCCATTGTGTCAACACGACGTCACCATAAGTCAGAAATCGCGATGGGTGAGAAAGATGTAACAAATTCTGGCGATTTAGCTCTAAAGTAATGACGTGACGATGGTTTTTCGCAGCAGTCTTGTTGACCTCGCCGACGCTGACGGCCACTTTTTGCGTTTGAATCTACGGCTTTCGCCTTTGTAACACGGTGCCGTAAAACCACCGGGCGCCTTATTGAATCAACACACGGTGCATAATTAGTGCGGTTCTCAACGAGCGAGCGAATTTCTCTCTCTCTCTCTCTCTCTCTCTCTCTCTCTCTCTCTCTCTATATATATATATATATATATATATATATATATATATATATATATATATATATATATATATATATATAGAGAGAGAGAGAGAGAGAGAGAGAGAGAGAGAGAGAGAGAGAGAGGTTACGCTGTTAAAGGGGAATATCCTTTCACTTCTCCTTTCATTATTGCACTTCTCCTTCCCATTCCATTATGTGTCATTTATTGATTGTTTTCAGGCGGAAATGTTGTAGGCCCGTGTACTCAGATTTGGGTGCACGTTAAAGAACCCCAGGTGGTCAAAATTTCCGGAGCCCTCCACTACGGCGTCTCTCATAATCAAATGGTGGTTTGGGGACGTTAAACCCCACAAATCAATCAATCAATTATTGATTGTTTTCTTGTACTGGTTCCGCCTCTTGTTATATTTCAACAAATATCGACGCTTATGTCTCCCTTTCTGCCTTGACTGTTTCGCTGTGGTCCCTCGCCTCGTCCCGTTTTAACGAATCATGATGATATGTGTATACGTGTATGTATCGCGGGAATCTTAATGTACGAATTGCATGTTTGATAGAGGCCGGTCCCTGGCCAAAAGCTCAAAATTCACACACACGCACACACACACACACACACACACACACACACACACACACACACACACACACACACACAGTTGTCGCACAGTTGTAGATTCCAATTTCGTGTGTATTATCGGAGTTATCGCTAATTACGACAATCAGTACTAACCCGCCAATCCGTAGCCACTTTTTTCTAGCTTTGTTGCGCGTATTAAAGAAGTATCCGGGTTTCAGCGTCTACACTTGGGGACAGTTGTCTGTGTAACCGTTTGACATACAAAATGTGGCACTTGAATGAACTCAAGCTCAAGCAGGAGGCACCTCACAGTTCTTCCGGTTGTCTCTGGACACAACGTCCGCATGTGTCCTGATCTCCACACAAAAGTATACGTAGTCAGCGGATATATATGGCGATTTCAATCTCGAGGCTCGTCTCGGCTACATCCTGACTCGAAGCCGACTTATCTAAACGAGCCGAGCCTCTCAGCAATAGCAGCGTTCGCATACGGTCTCATTCCTCCGCGATCCCCGTGTGTTGCCCGCAGAAGCCTTTGCGATATAAACAGCGCGGCAGTGAAATCAGAATAACGTGATTTGCATATCACGAGAGAAACGAGACGAACGAACCGTAACCTGCTGCTCGGTATATAAACATAACAAGGTGCGCCGACATTTGAATGCTAACTAGTCGGAAGCGGCTACAGGTCGATCGACGGCAACGCTCTTATCGTCGGCCGTCGAGACGCAGAAAGCAGAAGACCGGCGCGTGCATGCTTCAAGCTGCAGTCATGCGGAAGAAGGTTGCGCAAGGGGCCGATATTGACCGGACCTGTTCGCGCCGTATCACATCTCTCTCTCTCTCTCTCTCCTCTCTCTCTCTCTCTCTCTCTCTCTCTCTCTCTCTCTCTCTCTTTCTATATATATATATATATATATATATATATATATATATATATATATATATATATATATATGAAAGTAGATGCGCTTTCACATAACAACTGTTTATTGTGCCGACGTTTCGGCAGGAACCCTGTCTTTTTCAAGGCATAAGCCTTGTGCATTTCAAGGCATTATGCCTTGAAAAAGACAGGGTTCCTGCCGAAACGTCGGCACAATAAACAGTTGTTATGTGAAAGCGCATCTACTTTCATATTTATAACCTTGCGGCAACCGAAGTTATTCTTCTATATATATATATATATATATGTGTGTGTGTGTGTGTGTGTGTGTGTGTGTGTGGTGTGTGTGTGTGTGTGTGTGTGTGTGTGTGTGTGTGTGTGTGTGTGTGTGTGTGTGTGTGTGTGTGTGTGTGTGTGCGCTAAAGTATCCATTTTTTATAAACGAATAAGACCGTCTGCCGCTATGCTATGGTGCAGTGGCACTTACGGAGCTCGGCTGCGGAATCCAAGGTCGTGGCCTTGATCCCGGCATTCGTGGTCTTATTTCGATGGATGCCCCGCCACGGTGGTCTAGTGGCTAAGGTACTCGGCTGCTGACCCGCAGGTCGCGGGATCAAATCCCGGCTGTGGCGGCTGCATTTCCGATGGAGGCGGAAACGTTGTAGGCCCGTGTACTCAGATTTGGGTGCACGTTAAAGAACCCCAGGTGGTCAAAATTTCCGGAGCCCTCCGCTACGGCGTCTCTCATAATCATATGGTGGTTTTGGGACGTTAAACCCCACAAATCAATCAATTATTTTGACGGAGGCAAAATGCTTTGAGACACGAGTACCGTACGATGTCAGTGCACATTTAACAACACTATGCAGCTGGTCAAAATTTCCGAAGCATACTGCTTTGGTGTGTCTCATGGTCATAATATCAAGACCCCCTTTATTCGAGTCGAGCCCCAGTTAGCTGTTTTTTTTTTTTTCAGCCGTGATACTGATGAGGTAGCGGTAAAAAGGATGTCGAGGTGACTGAGAAGAGTCACTAATATATGCTGCGCTCACAATATCGCGGTTTCGGCACATACGACCCTGCAGATTATTATTACAGAAAGAGCAACTATTGGGGGTGCCCGAACGGTGAAGTGAACTATTGGCGACGGCGTTTTGGGTGAGGGTGATTTATTCACTGTGCTCTGTAACCGGCGCATCTCGAGAAACACTAAATTGTTCGATGGTGATAGGATGATTGCGTTGATTGATCTTAAGTGTCAACAACGTTCCTGCAATAACGTCATTCGATAGACTATCATACAAGTCTGCACTAACTGACAATTTGCGGGAAGGCTACTGCGCATGAGCAGTAGCGGCCCATGTAGCGCCCTCTGCAGGCGTTTTGGTTTTGGTTGGAAAAGATGAGCTCGGCCGGCTGCCGGTCGTACATTCGTGTGCCATGGTTGAGAGGCTTTGATTTTATAGTTATAGGTGAATATGCCTACACACTGCGTGCATTATTTTAGCTAGAAAAAAATTCGGAAGAGCTGGGCATGCTTGTTCGTCTGTAGGTGCGAGAAAGAGCTACTAAAACTTCCGGTGACAGTGTGTGATTGATTCTGTTTTTTTTTTTTTTTTCGACCTTGTCCGGAGTTTGCGCTGGTTTCTCTCGCATCTAAGCCGCGAAATGAGTGTGAACTTTGACACGCTCGCCTTAGAGAGGCTTCGTGCACGAAAGACAGGTGTTCGGATAACGGCACGTGGAATGTTGGCGCAAACCTTCATTGAAACAGAGAAGTTTGGCGCACGCGGCTCACCGTGGGTGCCGAGCTAACATTCTCGGATCTTTTTAGACGGCAACCCGCACAATGCTGCCTTTAGTACGCGAGGAT